AAAGTGAGCCCCAAAATTGCTCCATTGTCAAAGGAAGTGAAAGGGTTTCTTTTCTAAAGGCCATGGGCATCCGGAGTAGGCCTACTTCAGGGGTACTCCTTATTTGCCGGAAATCTTATTCAAATGTCACCGATTAACCCTTTCAACCATCATTTGTCGCAGAGAAACCTCAACAAGAATCAAAACAGGGTTAATTCTTAGAGACATACAGCACATGGGAAAGAAACATCATGGACAACAATAAAGAAAAAAGGGATAGTATCTTCGATACGCAGTAATATCAAGAACGAATTCAAAACCGTTCATGCTCGATTGCTGACAATGTCATGATATTGTTTTGTTTTGCTTCAGTCAAATAATCATCACTGAGTTCCATGAGAAAGTGCCCCCCCCCAATTTGAAGCAGCGAAGCTCACCCACATCCTGCACGTGTTTATTTGAGAGTGGACATAAGGTCCTTCTCAGCCTAAGACATATCTCGCGATATGTAAAACGTTTTAAGCTTTTGGCGATGAGTTGTCCGTTCGAACAGGCTTATTCAGGTTCACCCTTGCCTAATAACATCTTGTCCCATTTCTTGCCGAGATCGACAAAGTCTGATTGGTCGTATCCATAGACAGTCGTCTTTCTCATAATCGCATACTACTATAGACAGTATAAATCTCCTCTATTCGGCGCCAACAGCTTAAAACGTTCTCTGTTCTATGATGCGTTGGCAGGTCACGTGCAGGTATCTTTGCTTATCTGTAATTAGAAGTCGTTTAAATAAACAACCAGTTTGGCGTACGAGTAACACTTTTTTTTGGTGGGGTGTCCACTTAGTAAGAGCAACCCGAGTAGCTAAATATAGACCCCCATTAGGAAAGATATTTGTGTGCCTTTGTTACTCTTCAATGACAACAGATCGCATCCTAGAAATACATGTAGTTAAAAATTGGGTTTAATTCGAACCCCTCAAAATACAGTAAGGTGCTCTATGATTTACATCAAATCTCAAAGATTAGGGATGGGCTACTGAAATGCCCTTGACCCACGCTTTTTGCAGAAGGCGAATGGCTGAATGGAAACTAGTGGAGTTCCAACAATGTGCGAGCGGCCTCTGCTCTGTTGCTGATAATCGAGTATCATGGATCCAATTGACACATTTCTTGGTGTCGTTTAATAGTTTCCTACGCAGAGGAGATACCCGACTGTCAACCCATCGGAGAAGACGCTTCATCACTCCTATGTAACAAAAAGGATGAGAAAGAAAACAGAGAGCTATATGAAAACGTCATTGTCTTTGTGTTTTCGACCACGCCCGACCGCGGCCCAACCCAATCAATCGGTCTGCCTTTATAAATCTAGATTCATCGGTGAACGATTTCCACTGGGCTGGTTTGATATACTTGTAAAGATTTGAGCGTTTTCCCTGGAAACCTCGTTCCCTCCGTCATGGAAGAACTATTAGCCTCGAGCTGGACCAATTTTCTTAACAACGGAGGCTCCATTGGTCGGAACTGAACTTCGCTGGTTTATACGAGCAACTGGGAAATGTACGCGTCACGGTCGCGTCGCAAACAACAAAATGAGCAATTTGGCTCTTTTCAACCAATGAGGGGGTGCTCCTGCTCGAGGCGGATAGCAAACTCCACCTTTTTCCCTCTCTGTCGGAAGTCAACGGTGTGCCTAAAGCTACCCAGTTCCCCCGTGAGTTTGGAAACTGGAGGGGAATGAAGCGCCCTCAATCTAGCAGATTCTGGGAGCGGGAGAGGATAATATCCCCCGATTCCTCCATGTGTAGGCCCCATTCGTAATTGATTCTTTTCCCAAACGGAGAGGAGGGGGCATCCATAGTCAAGTTCGGGTGGCTGGTTCTTAACACTCGAACCCAAACAGCGGGAACACGACCCAAGAACACTGCTCTCTGAACACGATCACACACCACCCCCTGTTAGGGTATAGCACAAACATGCGGAAAAACGCGTGGGGGTTCAATTTTTGAAGAGCTGCAAAATAAAACGAGATAAACGACACAGGTGGAGTAGATGGAAGAGTTTCGTTAATTAACCATTAATAATTTCTCACAATAAAAAAACGATTTTTCCTTTTAGAATATGCAATAAAGCAGCCTAGAAATTCAAACTTTAAACCGTGGAAGGGGCACATGGACGCCGCCACGTTGTGTATCGCTCGTCACTGCAGGAAAAATACCGGCGATTAGCGGCCAACCCACGAACTGGAAATCAAGTTGTTCGTGAACGGAAAAGAACACCCTGCCCGAACTCAACCAGTGTGATCCGCTATGATCGTTCTTTCTAATAAGATGTCGTTATTTCCTGATTCTCTTGAAAACACAGGAACGACATTGGAAGCACCAGAGGTATACAAAAGAAAAAAACTATTTCGCCCGTCAATAAATTTCCCACACTTATCTCGGAGCACGATTCATGAGGCCATGGTGACCGCGTCTAGCACGGATGTAGACGGTGACCCCGCGTGTGACCTCGTCGTCCTATCGCCCTATCATTTTTAATATCTCCTTGTCATAACAGTGGCAACCACTAAATACCCTGGGGCTCGAAGAGACGCGTTGAGAAAGTCCATATTGTTCCCCCCATCTCTGGTGACGGCTGCAAGATGGCGTTGCGTGATCATTAAAGGGAATTGCTGCCTTAAAAAAAAATCAATTAAATTTCGTAACCATGACAGGATATTGCCCTCCTCTGAAATGCGGATGCGCGTTCACCTTTGCTCTCTGGATAAATGCTCCTGCGCGATGTCTTTGTTTGAAGGAGATAACGTTTTCTTTTTTTATGATTTGAAACAAAACCGTTATCAGGTTCTTTTTTTATAGTCCGAAGAAAGGCAGGGATGTTTAAAGAAACTCTTCAAATTCACAGCCTTATTTGAGCTATTGGCCTATGTCCAACTTCTGAGCTTGGTAACAGTCAAAAGGAATGGAACCCATTTAATTTATTTATTCAGTTTGTTTAGTTCACTTCGAAACGAACAGACAAAAACCCTCAGAACCTTTGAGAATGGAATATCGGTCGCAGGCATGCACGGTTAACGAAAGCCGAGCGCTCCACCACCAACCTGCCAACCATCACTCTGGCCCCACGACTTATCTCCCGGCGATACGGTGACGGCTAATCCCCGCCGCGGAACCGCGCGGGTGTCTCAACGCCGCACCGACGCACTCATTTTTCTTTCGCTGATGGACATTTATGGGGTTTCTAAATTCCTTCCCTGTTTTTTCCTCCTGATAACTTCTGAGACGGGGAGGGCGAGAATCCAGTCTCCCTTTTTTTGCGTCCTCGGTTTAACCCCCAACTTGACTGTTTATTTGATTAGAGGAATTGTCAACCCTGAGTGATGGATGCACTTTGCCAGTTTTTTTCTTTCTTTCTCTCTGGGACTTTTGTTTAAATGGAGATCTGGGAGAAACATGCCAAATCTGAACCAACAGGAATGTCTGAAAAGCAGTCGAAATCAAGGTGACAACATCGACGGTTGCTTTCGTGAGACCCATTAAAAAAAAACTAAAACTTGTACCAGAAATCTGGGGCGATGATTTTTCAAAGCAGAATTCTGTGTTCTAGCCGTTGTACAACTGTCGGTTACTTATTAATTCAAGTGTTGTCTGAGGTCCGTATTGACCAGATAAGATATGTGAAATTTATAAACATACTAACATCAATATCTTAGCTCTTTCTTGTTATTACTTCCTTTTACGGCGGAATTGGTGTCGATTTTTGTCCTCTGTCAAACACCGCGTGTTTCGCTTTAAGAGTGGCTCACAATGGCAGGCAGCAGGCCGCAGTCCCAACCTCGCCAGTTTGGTGGGGACGAGTCGAATAAATAACGAAATTCCTCCAAACAATGCCATTAATAGCCGCATAATCGATGCCGAGACATGCCAGCCAGTCGCGGAAGTTTACCCCGGCGAGGAAGTCCAGCTGCCAAACCCGGGGAAGAGATATGGGGTCCGCGATGGCCCGGTTTGAACCCCGGCCATTGGACCAATTAGCGACGGTGAGAGAAAAAAAAAGTCCTGTGAAGAACTACTACAAGCTATATCACAGGCTGGTTGTCCCTCCTTCAACCCCCCCCCCCCCCTCCCCCCNGCCACAAAACCTCATTTACTATTTTTGCTTTCTCTTTCGTTGGGTGATGGTTTGTCGTCTTCTAAAAGCAAACAGAGAGTGAGCTAGTGGTGAAGAGACTGGAGGCGTCGGTGTCGCATCCAGTGTGTAGTCTAGCGCGAACTTGGCGAGGACAATTTGTGTCACTCAGACGCGCCCCGGCGTAGCCTTAAAAATGTACCCCGAGGCCGAGCGTCTCTCTCTCTAGCTGCCCCTAATCAGCACCCAGGCTCGCGTCGTTTTTCTGCCCTAACAAGTGTCAGGCCCTTTTTTATTTTGTCGTCGGTGTCCGCTGCCGTTTCTTTTACCACCGGCCCCGGAGTCCATCAGCCAAGAGCGCAAGGAGCGTAAATGTTGACGCTGCCCTCCCCGTGCCCTCTGATGGATCGTCCGCCCCTGAACGGCCAGCCCACCAAGCAAGATCAGCGGAGGAGAAAATGCGATCAGACGAGGAGCAGAAATCACCGGGACCGTCACGATCTTTCTCCTTCCCTCCCCCCATCAATATTTTCCTGATCGAGTCATTAGCACAATTGGCGCTCTTGTCGGAGCTGGTTTGGCAGCCAGTGTTAAGCCCGGTCTAAACATTTACTTACGTTAAGTAAATGAACGGCCGTTACAGCTAAACAATATTGACAGTGAATGGCTCCACGCTAAGTGCGGCGATACAGAGCCTAATTGATTGAATAGTCTGCTCTGTCATCGCCGGTTCTTTCACGGCACTTGCGGCCAATCACCTCGCTCCTTAACTCAACATACGGGGGGGACGAGAGAGCTGTAAGACACTTGACTGAAGACACACTGGAGGAGACCCCCGTCCCCCATAAGACGATCAGTCACCCCAAGCCCTCCCCTTGATGGTCCCGCCCAGGCTTCATGTCATCTATAACAGCCATCGCCAGAGCTCTGGATACTATCCAACCGCTATAATGGCCAGTTGATAAGAGAAGTCGAACTCCCGAAAAGAAACAAGATAGGGGATCGGGGATACTGGGGGAAAATTGAGACTCCAGAAATGTTGACGCGGAAATGTGGAGCATTTACTCTGCCAGAGACAATGCAGGAGACCGGGACTATGTCGGGATACCACGGCTACCCTCAGTCGATGGGCTACCACTCTTCAACAACCCCCACCACTTCCCCGGCCGCTTCCACCACCCCCTTCTCTGTCAAAGACATTCTATGCCTGGCCGCGGCCCAGCAGCACCAGCACCACCACCACCACCACTCCCGGCACCAGCCCGTGCCTCAAGCCCCGGCCATGCAAGGCTATCAGGACCACAGTTTGTTTCCCATGACAGACGAGGCCTTCCTGGTGGACACCGCCGCCTTCCCCTGCGACATGTCGGCCGCCTCCTGCGCCGTCAGCTCCCCGGACGAGGCTAGGTCGTCCTGCTCGTACCCCTCCGCCATGGGCTTCGCAGAGGTTGCTCCCTCTTCCACATCACCTCTTGATCAGAAACTTCCAATTCTTCAATCCCATCAAAGTGAGTATGACATTTAAAACCATGCTTTTATTACCCTGTTACTGGTATTAGCACAGTAGCACTCCTGTTTGCGTGTAGCACTCGAAGACTGATACTCAGTCCAATTACGGGCTACTTTCGCAGCTGTTTGGAACAAGTGTAAAGTGACGTTTCACGGCACTGAAGTGTCCAAGTGGTGAACAATTCACAAGCTGTATCTGGGACAGAAAACACTTGCCGGCTAATAATACCGCCCTCCAATAATAATTCCCTTGCCGGTTGCCGACTGCCAACCTGTAGTGAGCAATATTTACTCACCCGCTGTATGGCCGCTTGGCGTTCAAGTGGGAGACGGGTTGAAGAGAGTTGTTGAAGATTGATAAATAAATACAGGGGAAGTTGAAAAATGTGCACGTTCATGCGTGCGTGTGCGTATGAAGTGGCTCGAGCTTTATGGGTGGTACAAAATCGACCGGTTAAGAACTCGATTCGACACCCTCTTAACTTGGTTGTCTCTCGAGTGGAAGTTAATTATTCATTCAATTTACAGGTAGTCCATTCTCTGTCTTTGGACCAAGTCCGTGCTTCAGGCTTACGCCACGTAAACCCAACTTCATCTCTTATTTTGAGAGAACCTGTCCATTTGCTCGGTGTCACTCAGCAAAGCTTCTCGTATCACGTTTTGCTGGTCGTGCATTTCAACACAATCCTTTTGAAGGCATGAAACCCGCATTTCAACATGTGGATGATGTTTCTGAAAGAACGAACCGTAGCATTATTTCTGCTTTTTCTCCTCGATTGCGTTTTTTCCTCTTTTCCTATATTATTTGTTTCAGTTTCTGTCGGTTACTTCGCCGAATTTCACGGCAGATTTTGGTTTCCAACGTTCATGCACTTTGTACAAGTTAATGCAGGGTTACATTGTAAAAAACAAGAAAGGACTGACCGTTAGCTGCGAATAAGTCTTTGATCTTCTGGAGTTTTTATCCCTCCTAACAACCTGAGGCTTATTTACAATGCTGTTTTTAAGGATATTTTACCTATATGTTTCAAGTTCTGGAAACACTGATTTTCCATAATCGGTACCCACTATTTGGATGGCCTTAATGTCTATTCCTTAATCGGTATTTGAGATGTGAACCTTGAAGTTTCTGTGCTCCTGTTGGCAGCTATTTCTTGTCAGGAGATTTGCCGATCTGTAGATACGAAAAGACCAACGAATCATCATCACCACCCCCAGCTTGGAGGGGGCGGGGCGGTGGGAGGCGACAAGCAGCCCAGCAAGACTCGCCAGCGGCGCAAGCCCCGGGTCCTCTTCTCTCAAGCCCAGGTCTATGAGTTGGAGCGACGCTTCAAGCAGCAGCGCTACCTGTCGGCCCCCGAGCGAGACCAGCTAGCCACCCTGCTCAAGCTCACCCCGAACCAGGTCAAGATCTGGTTTCAGAACCGGCGCTACAAGAGCAAGAGGCAGCGCCAGGACAAGAGCCTGGAGCTGGCCGCCGGGGGACACCACCCCCACCACCAGCAATTCCCACCCCGACGGGTAGCCGTGCCCGTGCTGGTCCGGGACGGCAAGCCGTGCCTCGGCAGCTTGGGGGCCGCCGCCTCCACGCCACACTCGGCACCTCCCCCGCCTCCACCGCCGCCGCCGCCCCCTCCTTATGGTTACACGGCCTGCGGCGGCTACAGCTCCGCAGGGGCGGGGAGCTCAGTCAGCTCAACGGGACGATTCGTCAACTCGTGCTCGTACACGGGCGGATTACCTACGGGAGGAGCGAGTTCGCACGGCAACGGTGTAGGCGTTTATTCCCAACCCACCATACAGCAAGCAGTGAGGACATGGTGAAATTCAGACTGATATCTAAAAAAAATCTATGACTAATAAATCATGTGGTGGACGTCAAGACACTATCCTAACAAGAGAAATGAGCCACTTACGTTGTTTCTTTATGGACGTGTTCAAACTTGTTCATAGCACATTATAATTCAAGGCGCAGAACAGAATTATATTTTCTATTCTATTCTGTCATTATATTTAAAATTTAACCAACTGAGCCTTTGAACATAGGTTTTCTCCTTATATTGAGACAAATTCCTCGGTCAGAGAACGGCCTCTGATAATGCTTGACCCTCAGAAGGAGAGGCCAACATGTGGTTTCGTGGGCATGCAGATAAATGAACTGTGATTCCTGAGATACGATGTTACCTGTACACCCTTGCCCTCGAAAACACACACTTCTGAAACAATGAAGGCTGAATTTGGATAGTCACGGGACTGGATTTTCGTAAAATTTGCAAGGCTTTTTTTTTTCAAAACAAGAGCCTTGTTTCGACAGTTATTCTTCACATAAATACAGTATTTCGAGGGGGATACAAACAAATTTTACCAGCTCCCTATGTCCAATCATCCAAGTACATGTAAAATCAAACCTGTTCAAGTCCCTAGGTCACGTGATCCCTCTCCTATCCAATCAAAGAACATCAGTAGTCCAGCTCTCAGCTGGGTGACCAATCGAAACTGGATTTTACAACAAAATCAACGAATGTCACCTGCTGAACTGATCTTGATAATAAAGGGCGCGTGGCTGGCTGTCATATAGAGTTAGAGAAAATTTGGATTTCACAGTATCGGTAATGCTAATTCCACGGCTTATTTTCTTAAACGGATGCAAGGAATCTATCTTGTATCAGTCTGCAGGGTCTACTGCATATTTTCGAGTATTTCTTTCTGTTTTTACCCATACACTTAGTAACTCCTAGGAAGAGGGACTTGTCCAGGCTAAGGAAGACAGAGGAGAAAGAGGGAGAGTGTCTGTATGTCTATTTCTTCTGGAAATGAAAAGCCTACAGACGACTACCTTTTGTGGAGTGAATTCAAAAGTAACAAGTTGGGGGAAAGGTTGCAGGTGATTTGTGGAGAAACTATTTCAAATTATAACTGGCAACATTTTTTATAAATTGGTTCACTGCTGTTTCAAAGGGTAAAGACACTGCCTCTCTGTCTTTGTTAGGGCTTCGTGTAACAGATAACTTCGTGTAAAGGCTTAAAGTCGACAACGTAAGCAATAGTTTTCGTAGTCGGTGGACTTAATTCAGTTTGACCAACATTGTGGATGATCTTAATACGGGCTATTCACAATAGTGCGCCTCCAAGAGTTTGCAACGCATTTGCCAATCACAAAGTGCGAAATATGCCGACCATTTCCAAACGTGCATTGGGTCGACAGATTGGCCAGTGCGTCGCAAACTCTTGGAGGCGCACTATTGTGAAACGCCTGTATTCAGTCTGAGTGGTATGATAGGCAGAGTCACTCTCCTTTTCAATAAATATGTGGCGCATATATGTCGGTACTCTTTTTTAAAGGATGATTGATTATTGTGTCTGCAATGGCTATTATTTTATGCACAGGCATTCCTGTAAAAATAGAATGATTTCACATTTACCTGAGAAATCCCACTAACAGAATGTACAAAGATTTCAAGTAATATTATAACAGTATTATTTTACCTTGTGAAGATTGCGCTGAACATTCGTTACATTAAAAACGATGTCAGAATGAAGGGATTAGTTTCAACAAGTGGTATATCATTTAATGAGGTCTGGTTAAATCGCCCAATCGGGATGACATATTATGCGATGGAGATAGGGACTTACCTGTATTGACTGAAAATTATCCCGCAGGTTTTGAAAAATAAAGTATCGGGGTACATCGAAAAGGTGGTGCATATGACGTCCAAGAACCAGCGAATACAGGAATAAGGGTGCACATGTAAAGAACACCTGTCTTGGTCACAGTAAAACAATGCACGCGGCAGTGCCTACGGCTAGAGTCCCCTGAATGAGCGCCAATCAGCATAGGCCTACAGAGGTGTGTATTATCATGTGCAAAGCGATAAGAGAGGGTCGGTATGGGTTGTTTTCTTTCACGGCAAAAAAATTGAACTAAAGAAGGAATTCCTCAAATCAATATGCGTTTGCTTCCTATGAAATCGCGTCAGCATGAGCTGTCGTTCTCGAATGGGGCACGGGTGCAAGTCGGTTGCAATTGGAGTACACTCATTCATACTAGGTCTGTTTGACAAGAGTAAAATCCTAGTTTCTGAGAATGTCTTTAGCCCAATCACCCGGGCGTTGTGCAGATGGTGTTGAGTCGTTCTTCATAGCGCGTAGCTATTATTATGAGTGGTTTGTCATTTACCGGTAAGCATCCAGTTTTTTGGCATCGGGTGAATGGACTCCTTGGATTGGGTTTACATGTAGGCGTATGTGTCCATTACGAAATGTGTGTGGGGCCAATCGGAGCGATCAGCTGGTGGTCAGCTTTTCCCGATCCAACGATACCCATCCCCAGGTCAACTCCCAGCCAATTTTCGGTGTTCTACTCAAAAAAATGTTACGAGGTGTAAATGGTGTTTTCTCGTCTTTCTGCGATGATGTTCGGAGGTTACAATGCTCTTGAAATGCAGTACTTGGATCATGTTCTTCCTAGAAAAATAAACACAATGTTTTGACTTATGCTCCCCCAGTTTCCCGTTTCACAAAACCCTTCTTTTTCTGGAATTTAACTTCAAATATTCGTGCGGTGTTTATCTCAGCTTCGTGTACCAAGGATTTCCAACAGCCAAGCCGGAAAATTATTGATATTTGGTGATGGTTTTAATAACATTGTAAGTTGTGACATGAAAATAGTGTAAGCTCGAGTTTCAGTCCGGTCCATCGTCGCCGTACCAGCAGCGAGCAGCCAAGCCGGCCGCTGGCAGAGCACGCCGGGCACAGTGCCTGTGAGCCGACACGGCTGGGCTCGCTGCACCGTTTATTTGTCTTGAGCGAACCCGTCTGTGTGTCTTAATTGAGGAAAATGTTAGCGGTCCATAAACACTGGACCCCGCCGGAACAAAATTAATAGTTTCCCGCTGACCCCGGAATGGTCAGGAAACAGACAGGATTCTGGCTAGGAATGCGGTGATGTTTGGGAAAGCATTTTCTTTTTTTCCCCTCTTCGGTCGGGTAACTCTGGCTTGATGATGAACGATCTCTAGTTGTTCAGCACTGTTGACATTGGTTACGGGGAAAAAAGACAGTGGGTTGTTTATATCGCGATGGAATGTTAGAAATTGACAGGTGGTTTCTACACTACGTATCACATTGTGAGCGCTGTTTACCCTGTTCCTGGTTTACCCATGTGCTTTGCTTTTAGCCTAGGCTATCCAACCCTCCCCCCTCCCACCACGCATGGCGAGCATGCGCCATTCAATGCAAAGTAAACTCAGCACGACGTAGGCTAGTCCACCTTGCAACAATATTTAGGTTTTATATGTCTAGATCAAGCTGTAAAAGTTTGAATTCATTTACCTTAACTTGTTTGGGTCACAAATTGATTGAAGTATTCAAGTCAGGTTCCTTTATGCCCCTTGTACCACATACCTCCTTTCGAAGGTGGAGAATCAAATCCGAATCAAAATTCAATTAGCTATAAATCATACCACCGAAATGCAATAAACATCATAAACAATTCGACCACGCGCTCCGGAAGCCTAGTTCTCTGCATGGTTTACCGGTAAATCGTTGCTCCCCTTTCCAACTCTTTCTTTGAGCATGATTGTCACGCGTTTGTCAATTAATTTTTGTTGGATGATAAAAACAATCTTACTTTGGGACACCAAACACATTCATTCTAAAATTTGATATTTCATTCCTAAAAAGCATTGTGTTTCTGTTACAGTTCAAGTACTGGTGTAATTTAAAGGGACTTTGACAGGGACTTTCTTTCGCGGGAACATATTTCGTGCATCTTCATCTTCCTATATACCCATCTTTAATGTAAGAAAAGTGTTTGACATCCTTTTTTGTTTTGTTACTGTTATTTACTGAGTGTAAATGTTAGACGTTTTCCTGACAAAATGAGGGCGCTGTCTCTCACGTCATTTAAGGAAGACACTGGCCATTGTGAGGGTTTTCTCTTCAAACTGTTGACTCGAAATTTGCTCACTGAAAATATTTGTGGGGAAAAGCTTGATACCTGGCACCAGAAGCCCTTAAAATTGCAAACTGAAAATTGAAAATAAAGTTCAAAGGGAATGAACGGGTTCATTTAAGTGCAAAATAGTTAAAACAAACAAATTGGCATGTTGACTTTTTTCCGAAAACAATGAAAGCTGTGGTGAACTTAACTTTCCTTCAACTCTCTTCTGTTAGATTAGCCCTATATTGGAATCGTGAAGCTCATTTTCAAGTGTGATTGACCATGCGAGGCCCTGTATATAACAATATTATTTATTACCATTCGTGTGACGCTCTGTCGATTGCAGTCGGCTGGAAACCAATCTGTTAAACATACAATCTATTTCGAAATTAACGAAATGTGGCCCCGTATCCTACATGTTACACTTTGCGCGTAATCAGCACTCGCCATCAAAAAAAAGGCGCGCTTGGGACAACCGAGAATGCGAACAGCCTTGTAAAAGTAAATAAAACACAAGTAGTCGCGCGTGGTGAGATTGAAGGGGCAACATTTCGTAAATTACTGCGCAGGTGCGGTTATTGCTAGGTGCTGATTTATTCCAAGTAGATGATGTTTACATAACAACATGAAACTCAGGAGGGGGATGTGCCGGAGACATTAATTGTCATCTGCACGGTGCGGGAAAATTGAGTACACGAGGTGTCAAAACACGACTGGTTATTGGTTAAATTTCATATCACAGTGAGCCGGCGTAAAGGGGGATTTTTTTCCGACGGTGATGATATCCAAAAAACTTCGACCGACTCAGTTTATCGCCAATTCAACTAAGCACGCCCAATCTAGATAATTGTATCGTTTTATGGTCTCTGTTTTAGTTTGTTTG